CAATAGAAAACAAGTAAGTCCCCTCATACGAACCTTCAAGTTGCGAACTTTCAAAGATGCGAATGTGTGTTCACATGTCCAGTCACGTAAGTTAGTTCACGTGTCTGGTGTACATTGTCACGTGCATGCATCCTCTACAAGAGGTTGTGCTTTTGTGTACTTTACAGCACTGTATAGAGTACAGTAGTACAGTATCTTTATTTCAAGCCCAGGATGTCCGGAAGCAAGTGTAAAAGCAGTGGTGATCTAGCTGGTACTGCTAAAAAGACCAGGAACTGGAGGCCCAGAGAAAGGACAAAGAGAGACAAGAGGAGGAAGAAGTAACTGAAGAACCAAAGAGATTCATGATATACCTTACCAGCTTAGTATTCAGCCCAAGACTCAAGTAGGTCCTATGTAGATTTCTGGAGCTTCTCTTCTGTGTTGCTCCCTCCTTTCTGATAGTGTACCCTGAAGATTGTATTTGCCTCTGCCCCTCCACACTCTGGTCTCTTTATCCTTAACTCAGCATGGTTACCATGTTCTATGCTGTTTTCTGAAAAGAGCCTCCAGGGTGAAAGCTGGGCCATCTTGGTGCCCACTTCATTTGTTTTCCTTCTTTCAGGGATCACAGTCCTTAGCTGTTATTCAGTATCTAAAAGCATTTATTTTACATATAAGTCCAGTTTTATAGTTTTTTATGTTGGGAAGGCAAGTCTAGTCCAATTTTTCTATCATACCAGAAGCAAGAGTCTTCTCGGTCCCTTTCATCTGTTTTCTTTCTAATTGAGGTAAAATTCGCATAACAAAAATTAACCATTTAAAAGTATATCCTTTCATCAGTTTTTAAGTCAACTTTTAGAATGTTCTAAATTCTTCCTATTTGGCCAGATTATACTTAATGAAATAAAATATTTTAAAGGATTTAGAGTGAGAAACTTTCCTTATATAGACTTGAGTCAGTAAAATAGAACATTAATCTTCTCTTTCTTAAAGAGAATTTCACTTACCTGAATGGATTTAGATTGGCTTCTTTTAAAAGGCTAAGAACACAGAATTCTATATGTGTTAGGTTATACTATAAATTACATCTTAAGCTGATAAACTGTAGTTGACGTATATCTTGGATGAAAGTAAATACTCAGAAAAGCAATAGAAAACAAGTAAGTCCCCTCATACGAACCTTCAAGTTGCGAACTTTCAAAGATGCGAATGTGTGTTCACATGTCCAGTCACGTAAGTTAGTTCACGTGTCTGGTGTACATTGTCACGTGCATGCATCCTCTACAAGAGGTTGTGCTTTTGTGTACTTTACAGCACTGTATAGAGTACAGTAGTACAGTATCTTTATTTCAAGCCCAGGATGTCCGGAAGCAAGTGTAAAAGCAGTGGTGATCTAGCTGGTACTGCTAAAAAGACCAGGAACTGGAGGCCCAGAGAAAGGACAAAGAGAGACAAGAGGAGGAAGAAGTAACTGAAGAACCAAAGAGATTCATGATGTAGGAAATGGCAAGGGGATTTTCTTTATTTGAGGAGGCACTGTTAGTTTTTGAGGCACAGGACCCGAACATAGAATGGTGCACAAAGGTTGAAGCAGCCGTTCAGAATGCAATCCGGTGCTACCGTGTCATCTATGACAAGAAAAAAAGGGCTACTACCCAGACATCACTGGATTGTTTTTTCAATAGGGTAGATAGAATTGAATCCAGCAAGGAACCAGAACCTGTGCCACCATCATCAGGTGTGAGTGAACTTGCAGTTTGCCCTCTGTCTCCTGTTGCTGACGATCCTTCACCGCTAGCATCTCCCACCTCCTATCCTTCCTCCAGTCAGTAACTCTTCTTGCCTGTTCACTAGATGCCAGCCCCTGTATGCCAGCTGTTGTACTGTACTACTGTACTTTTCAAGGTACTGTACTATAAGATTAAAAATGTTTATTTTTTGTTTTTGTTTGTTTTTTATGCATTATTTGTATGAAAAGTATTATAAACCTATTACAGTACTATGTAGCCAATTGTGTTAATCCAGTACCTAGGCTAACTTTGCTGGACTTACGAACAAATTGGACTTAACGAATGTGCTCTAAGAACAGAACTCATTTGTATATGGAGGACTTACTATAAAAACAAAAGGACATGATTAAGAATCACCTCTTTGGGAACAAAGAGTAGGAAAAAAGAATTGATTAGTAGCCTTTACTCCAAGCATTCTGTTTTATTATACTTTTAAAATTATGCTTAGTTTTTCACCTTTACACTTCTTTTGCCCACCCGAGGAACTGAGTTGCTGGTTTCTTCTCTTGAGGTTGCCCATTGTGGTTATCGTGAGCTGTAGCTTCTCTTCCTGTGAGTCCTGCCTGACTTAATAGTCTTTAATAGTTGGAGAAGCTTTTGACTCATTTTGTAGTATTAAGAGAAGAAACAAAGTTTTAAAAATTATTGAAGCTGTTATATTTTCTCAGTCTGTGTTTCTGTGAGAACTGTTGAAGCAAGGCTGAGAAAGCAGTGTCTAGGGGCAAATATGTGAATAAGTTGGCTTTAAGGAGCTTTCAAAAGATGAAGCTTGGAGAGATCTAGGACTTGAACATTGGGCCAGCACGTAGGGATTAGAATGTCTTCTGACAGTGGAGGTCAAGGCAAGAAACTAGAGGTGAAGGATGGGATATAAAGAATCTTGCAGGCTAGGAGAGCCATAGGGGAGGAGGTGCTGGGTAGCAAAGTGACTCAATTTAATTAGACTAAAAGGACAGTTAGATGTGAAGTGCCTGTAAGGAAAAAACAGGCAACTCTTGGTTTGGTGATTCTTATTTTTTGGATAGGACAAAATCACAACTTATGTATAAGAATAGGCAAGCCACATTATAAAGAGTTTAATTTGGCAAAAATTGGAGCTGTGCAATCATGTATAAAGACAGATTATAATATCAATACAGGCATCGATCTAATTAGAATGCATTAAGACTTTTTGGTTTTGAAATAATTTGTCATTTTTTAAAAGCTGCAATATATTAATACATAGTTAGGAGAAAGTAGCATTTCTCTTCATAATACCTACCTAGATTTAAGGAGTGTCATGTTGCTATGCTACTCTCTTGCCACTGAAACACCATGAATACACATCACTTATATTTGTATGTGAATTCCATAGATTAAGCCATTTGTTGCCTGTTCTTTTCAAGTTAAACTTTTTTTTTTTTTTTTTAAGCCCAAGCAATTTTCATCTTTTTCTTCTCAGTTTGATGCCTTCATACTTAAAACACATTAACAAGGGAAGAGTAATGAAAGAGTTTGGGACTGCCAAAAACCTTGACTAGGTTCCCAGGAGAGAGAAAAATACTCCTATCTTGTCTGTAGTGAAGAAAACCTGAGTCTAAAGGACACCTTAAAATCCTTAGGAATTCTCTGTAAACATCAGAAACTAGTAAAGGATTTTCAGAGTTTTAATAATGAGCAGTAGAAGCTGATTGGATGTTCAAATTCTATGCGTTAGTCTTTTGTGAAGAGTTCTGCCCAACAGCTTTTATATTTTGGGTGCTTTGTTTTGTTTATTTCCACTCATATGAGTTCAATTTCTTAAGGTTTTTTAGAATGATTTTCTTTGCATAAGACCCTCATCAAAGTTTATTTGCTAGCAAACCTGGTTTTCCTACAAACTTGAAGAAATAATTGCAAGTTGATGGTAGTCCTGACTAGCAGTTGCTCTGCCTAGAATAAATTGTGTGTGTGTGTTGTGTATGTATCAGTTTTGGTCAGCTACACTGACAGAGCTGGGCCAAGACATTTTCCTGCCTGTTAATCAAGGACACACAGCTCAAGGAAGGATGACCCCTGTCTCAGGAAGTATCGAATCAGTTGCTATTTTTAAACAGTATACAGTAGAACTTGAGATCAGGTCTTTACTCAGTTGACAGGAAAAGTTCTCTGCCAAATTTTGCATTTGAGGAAACAGTTAACGGGCCTAAATGAGTGAAGCCTCTATGTGAAAGGAAGGGATGTGACTGTAAGTATTTTTGCTGATTTGGGTCAAGTGTGTGGTGGCAGAGATGTGGAAAATTCAGTCAGTGACAAAATAGGTTATTACATTTCAAAGTAACTGATAGTTAATGGCACCTTGGATTGTCTTTAGTGACAGTGGTGTGTATGGAATTCTGTGTTGCTAATAGTAAAGTTGAAATAAGGGTATGTGATGAGCTAATATTATCTCAACGTAGCACTGGAGAAGGAAATCAGCTATTGGTGTGTTTCCAGACTAACTGGCTCTTCCTCTGGATGTATACATAAACTTTTTGGTTATTTGAGATGTATTTCTGTATGCTTTTTTTTTTTTTTTTTTTTTTTTTTTGT